TAAGGGCTTAATAGAGCTACACCATCTGCCCTCTTCCAGGAGATCTATTCCCACACTGTCTTTTGAACTGAGCTCTTAAGCTGCAGGTAGTGCAATACATTACAAATACCTCAGACAAGTAGATGCATAACCTGGCCAGCTGGCTGGTATTCAACATTCCTACCCAAAACTGCTCTCTTTGCCCAGCTTTTTCCGTTCCTGGTATCCAACCATTTCTGCTGCTATCAGTGATTTATCCCTTTATTCTGCTGCAGCCCTCATAGCTAAAGGCTCCTTGCTGTCTCTCTCTTCATCCCATTCACACTCAGAACCCCTCTTACTATCTTAATTCTGAAGCAGCTTTGTCATTTGTAGTTCAATAATCTCATCTTCTCAAAGAGAGATGGGAGAAAAACTGAAAGAAAAAGGGAGAAAGAGAAAGCTAAATTCTCCTCACTTTCTATGCACCAGTGGTTTTACACCAAATCCCAAAGACTGAGTGCTATGGGTTTCAGAAACAATGCCTCCCAAATAACTTAGTGGGATATTTTTAGAAAAAGTACCACTCTTTAAATGGCACGTGCAGCCCAAGCCAGAGGAGTATCAGCAACACCCAGGCCAGCAGAGAGCTGCCTACAGTCCCTGCTGTTCCTGGAGGAGCAGGGTGCATTCCCAAATGCCACGTCCGAGCTGCAGCATGCCGCGGGCAGTGCCCGGGCCCTCTCCCACCGCTGGCACGTCACCCCCTCCTTGCACACAGCAGTGACAGCTGCCAGGTACCACGCTGCTGTGGGGACATCAGCCTGCCCAGCTGCTCCTACAGAGGTTCAGAACAGAAATCACAGCAGGGATCATGCGATTCCTAAGCGCGCGGCGTTTCTGTTCTGACACATTCCTGGGGCCGTGGGTGGAGGATCCAAACAAAATGATGGTGCTGTTTCTTAGCAGCCGTATCATTTTAGTTGCTTCTCAACTCCTGGGTGCTTCTATGTCTCAACAGAAGATTGAGATTCTGTGTCTCAGTAGACATATTTTTACTTCTTTGTTAAAAACAATGGAAGTTTCATCTTGTGACTGCAGCAAGACAAAAAAAGCAGCACAACCACCACTGGGCTTTAGAGAATCATCCCAATGATCAACTATCTTAAACAAAGCTGCAGATGCTAATCATCAACTTTTGCATCAAGCTTTTGCAGATAATGAGATGTGCTGTACAGATAGCAAGATGAACAAAGCCAGATATTCACTAGCAATGCGCTTCACTCATATCCCTTATATGAGAAAAAGGAACTCCTAACTCTTTCTGTTAGAAAGATTCAGAGTTCCAAAGCAATTAATCTTACACTAACTAACATTCATCTCAACTTCCCATAAGCAGGGCTACGTATGTGAACTTGCACAGACCAAGGGATGAAACCTTTTGAGCACAACTATACTTTTGAGACAATTAAGTAGCTACTCTTTAAACTCCTCAGCAACTCATTCCCATTCTTCTTTCCTCTGTCTCTTTTCCTCCTTGTTAGTGTAACAAATTTGGCATCTTGTAGCCTGCTTTCTTACACTGAGACTTCAGAGCTGCTCTCACCGTATGATTGATAATTGTCAGTATAATTGGTCCACCCAGTAGAGCTATCCTCAGGATGGGAACAGTATTCATGTAGAAACATATAGATAAACCACCAGTGAGAGCTTGAAGTTATCCTTAACAGGAGCCTACATTCCTCTATATTTAGTTAACTCTTCTTCCAGTGCCAACAAGATTAAAAAGAGGTTCAAAGCCATTGACTTTAATGCAGAAAGAGCATCATGCTTTGAGGAGTATGAAAAGATGCCCCTGCGTGAACAAGCAATTAATTCTTCAGTTGGATGTTTTACATCAGCAAGGAAGAGGGAAGAGGTTCCTATCCACTGCACAAAAAATTCATTTCAATGTGTAAGTGAACTGGCTTAGATGGGAGAATGATAGAGAAGCAGCAAGGAAAAAATCAAATGAGAAAAATCACAGGAGAAAGACACGTGCAGAGGAAATTGGAAGCTCTAAAATACATTTCAAAAGGCCATTTCAGTACTGGGTAAATGTAAAAAAGAAATGAGATCATGGCTTTTTGCATGTGCAATCAGATATACTTTTACACAAATTACTTGGTCTTATCTAAGTATGTAGTATAATCCAAAAAGGTTTTTCCTCTTATTAACATATTATTCATATAAAGAAACTGTGTTTGTTGAACTCATTAGAATGTTTTCTTCTTATAGTTATGGAACTCATTAGGTTTACAATCATTCACTGAAATTATTCCATACCCTGATGAATGCCCTATTACACATACTAAAGAATAATTCAATCCTACTTGGGGCTCTGCTGTTTTACAGGCTTACTCTTTGAGAATAATATATTCTACAGAAGCAATACACACAAAATAAGATTTCTGCCTTCATTTGTGTTTGCCTATTTATTTAAAGAACCTCGTTCAGGCTCCACTGAGGCTTTCCCAGGAGTACTCTCTTAGGATGAAACTTTCCCCCCAACCATACTTGCTTTTAGTCTGAAGAACTTCAAAGAGATTTTTAGTGATACAGCAAAGTGATGTTGGTCTGAACTCTGGGTTCATCCCTTCTAGTTCACCAAAACAGAGTTATGTAAGTTCACAGCTAAAAAGATTATCCATCGAACTACTGAAGTTAGACATGGATTACAAAATCAGGTCGAGCTAGTTCCAGGCAATTACTCTTTACATTTAATTTCTTGGTGTTTAGTTCCAGTTCACCTGCAATGTACTTTGTAACTCAGTAGAACTAATTTCATTATTAGGGCTTTTTTGTTGATTTTTTTTTTCTTTTTTTCCCCCCACATTTGGTGGAAAGTTAGTGGCAGTTGGGGGTTTGTTTTTCCTGAAAATGAAGGTATCAAATAGTTCTGGGACTAAAAGATTCATACCTACAAGAATTTCTACACATCCTATATGTCCCACTATTATTCTCTTTACTAGAGCCCACATCATTTTCTGAACAAATTTAGGGATACTTCACATGAGAAAAGTAATGTTTTAGCATTCCTGGGTTGTTCAGATTAACTTCTAATGGTAATGAAAAAATGCCATAAATGTAATGACAATTCCCATGGTTTGGGCATTCACCATGTTTGCTTATCTTCTGGGCAAGATGAGCCAGGGTGCAGACATTTCATAAAGAGGTTTCATTCTCCTGGGTGTTCCCTTTATCTATTGCTATTCTGTAAGTTTTAATATTGAGTTTTGTGGACAATTCATTTGTATTTTTTTAAGCAACTAAAAATGGGTGAAAGATATAAGCATTTGTATGCTATTGAAGTCCACAGGTCAAAGTGTAAACACAGGGTAAGACTTTTCACACTTTGCTCCCACCCACTGTTTTGTACCTGATATTCAGAGTCGAGGTGAATCATAAAAATGCAACACCTTTAGTATTTTGATGAGATTTTTCTTAAGTAGCTTCAAGTGCTTTCCATTCTATTTCATTTATTTTCTTTCTCTGTGATTTAACTTTTTGTGTTGGATGAGAAGTATCAAAAATGCTGAAGTAATAAGCATGAAAGAAATGCAAAGTGAAAGGAATTAAAAGCCAAGTGTTGCTCTGGCTACATCTAGAGGGGTTAGCCCACACTGAGAAAGACAACTCAGATCCTCCCTCAGAAGGAGGGAAGATTTTTCGTCTTTAGTATGGGACCAATAATTCGACTTCTCTGATTCAAATTCCTCATTTAAAAATGGCTCTGAATTATAGCACCTAATAATCCTTAACAGTATTACACAAACAGAAAATAACATTCAAGAATATGTGAATGTTTGAAAGGCAACCATTGCCGATCATTCCTTCACCCAAGTTAGAGAGGTTTCTTCCACGGCCTCTGTAAACCCAACAGATGGACACGATGACACTATGACACTATTATTTCCATATATACACCAGACAAAATGCATCAGTCGTGATGATGACACCTCTTCAGGTTCTTTAGTGTTATTACAGGAGTAAAATCCAGGTGCTGGAAGACTTACACACTCATTTCTGCCCCATGAAAATTAATGTCCTGTGGTTTATGGAACAGGAGGCCACTGTGCTAAGTCCTGCTCTCTGCCATTGGTATTACACTGAAATTCACCAGTCTTAACCTCAATTGCTTGTTACTGGTGACATTAAACCCATATTTATCCTTTGACAAAGCTCTCACGTTCACTGATAGAGAAATGCAAAGTCAACATACATATCCATGTAAAGAAACAAAATAAAGATTATGTAATACACACCACATTCCAATCTGATAGGGGATTTCATCAGTCACACCACATAAAATTTTTAATTACCATATTTCTATTTGCTTTCACAGGTGAAACACAAAGCTTTCTACAATCAAAAAGGAGTTCATACTCTCTCTGGAGACTGAGTCATCATTGCTGTTTTCAAATATATCAAAGATGTGCAGCAAGTTTTCTACCGCAGGGCAGAAGTGCCAAGAGGACCTACAGTTCTTCTATTTCATGTTAGAATAAAAAATATTTGTTTGAAGTACTATGAAACGAGTCACCCTAATTCAATTTCATAGGCATTCTTTCACCAGAAGTTTGAATGAAACCATCCTAGGTTATGGATCACTCACATCAGTTCAGAACTGAGCTAAACAGTTTTTAAGAGCAGAACAATCACGCTGAAAGATAACTCATCTACTAAGGAACTGCTCAGAGACAAAAACAAAGGCAATAAATAAATGGATAAATGCTCTCTAACACTTAGTCCAGCTTTACTTTGTGATGTATATGAAAACACTTCCTGAAAATAGAGGCCGATGCCCTTGTAGGTGAGGTGAGTTAGGTGAGTGGAAGACAAATCCTGTCTCAGCACCAAGAAATAATTTTACTTTGTTTTACCTTTTTTTTTTTATTTTAAAGATTTCAAGAGAATGGTACTAGCAGAGTCAGAGCTATTAAAACTGAACTAACTGTGCATACACAGAGGAATAAAAGAAAGGAGAAAAGCTTGGTCCCTACCGTCTCCCACAAACTGAAGGAGGGCGAGATCAATTTGTCTCTTCCAAGGTGATCCTTTCTGGAGAGCAATGCCATAGCCAGTAGTGGCAAAGATGTACCCACTGCCTATGGTGACAAGTTTGCAGCCTTCATCTCTTCCAGCCTTGTAATTCAGCACTGCTGCATCATAGATGAAAGCATCCAACTTCCTGAAATAAAAGAAAACATTTTACAAACCAAATCATTAGGGACAGCTGTTGTCAGACTTCTTTTGTCCTTGATGTTAGGACCCTGTTGAATATCATATGGATTCTTTGATATCATTAATTACATATCCTGCTCTGCTGTATCTAAAATTAACAAAAGGCATCTATTTTAGTGAGGGGAAAGTAGGACACATAGTTTTGCATTTCTATTTTAAGGGATGCTGTTAAAAAATACTGAGCAGGAGAAACCAATCTACAAAATGTCCTGCCCTGATATCTTTGTATCTTTGCTCTTGGTATGGATAATAAATATCTTGAGATGAAAAATGGTCTCCAAAACCAACAGAAATTACAACAGAGAACTTAGAATTGAAACAAAATAGAAAATTAGTATATTTCAAATACTGAAGGAGATTGAAAATGTTTACCAGTTTTACATACACAGCCTTGTTTTACTTCTCTTTCCAAAAATAAACAGTGAAAGTGCAGGTTAAGTCCTCAATAAGAAAATGTCCTTGGTATGCTCCAGTATGTCAAAGTCCTTCATATACTGGAGCATTTCTCATAGAGCTACCTAAATGCCACTGAAATATGATAGAAAATATTTCCTTATGATTCACAGTACCAAACATACTATTTGTGTATCTGGAGCACAGCAGGAAGAAAGGAACTTGTGAAAAAGTTTAAGCCTTTTACCCCATCTACCTAAAAATGGAAGAATAAGATAATCCCATTCTCTAAAGAATACAGGGAACAGAACAGGAGTGGAAAACAAATCCAGTAAAGAAAGGGAAAGAAGCAATGTCCTCCAGGGACACCTTCTCAGAAACAAGTTACTGTAAAGCAAGTCAGAAGGCAGGTGCATGAATGTTTCACAAATGAAGGCAGTGAAAATGCACATAAAGAAGAGGAGGCCATTTGGAAGGACAAGCACTTGACAGCAGCAGATCCCAGTCAAAGAAAAGGCATTCTTACACTGCCAGAAATCCATATGCATACTTCAAAAATAAACAGATAAAGCTTTATTTTGCATTACTGCCCTCATCTGCAGCCAAAACCTTTTAAGATGTTTACTACTTGCAGAAGAGCAGCAGCCTGCGACAGCAAGGGGAAAAAGCTGTTGGGGCCCCAGCTCCAGCCTCACCTGAGTGACACACACAAAAGCAAAGCCACCCCACTCCCAGGAACACACCCTGCCTTCCCAGAGGAAGTCAGAGGAGCAGGAAGGACAGGGCCACCCACTTGGCTTTGCTGGGTGGCGTGGGAGGCTCCCCCGCCTCCCCAGGGCTGTGCAGCCCCAGGCACGGGCAGCTCTGCCTGCTGAGCCTCTGCAGAGGCACAGAGCATCACCTGCAGCACTGCTGAAACCATCTGATGGGCTGCAGCTGGCACAGCTTGGCACAACACTGCCCACCAACAGTTGGGGCCTGTCTCCATGGAAAGGCAGCTATAAAAATAAATGTACTGTGGCACAAACAGGTACAACAGCATCAGCTTCAATAACATTATATCAGGATGAACCAGTTGTGAATTCTGTGAAGTTGCTATGAAGTTTTGGAGTCACGCTTGCTAGTAAGCTTAAATCCATTTATGTTGATAAAGCTTTTAGTTTATACCCACAGAATGGAGAAGGACTTAGACATATGACATTCTGACTACTAACAGAAAAAAGCCTCAACAACTTTTCATGCATACCATAATTCAAAGTTTATTCATAAATAATCAGTCAACAGAATCCTAACTTTTTCAGATCTCTAAATCAGATTCCAAAAATGTGGCACTGAAGAAACCTGTGTCTATCTCATATTAAACCAAGAGGAATACCAGGAGAGAATTAAGTTGTTGGATTTTGTCTGCTGTCATGCAAAAGGGAAATTCCTGTCACTAATTACTGTTCTTTATTGCTTTCCTTCAAGGATATTTATCCCAACAGTCACCATTCAAGTCATCTAATTGAAATTTAGTGAAGTGGTTAACTCAGAGTAGAGGTGGTTCATGCAATCATTAAAAAAAATAGTTGGGCCATCAGTTCTCTTGCTTTTCTCCTCTTCCCTAAAATTCATTTGGTGCAAGCTTCAGTTTAGAAGTCAGATTAGCTCCACCAATGCTCAAAATCTTGTTTCCCCTTTCCTTTAAATGGATAATTTAATATGCAGAAAATCACAAAACATCTGGTAGGTGATGTCACCAATTCAATCCATAAAAAAAACATGGATGGCTACCTGGCACTGGGGGTAATTAAATTTGAAAGAGCCAAGAAGGTGCTGGGGTACTGCTCAAGCCTGCAGCCCTCAACATAAGATCAGAGTTTTCTAAATCATGGGCTTTGATGCAGCACTTCAGAGACAATCTTTCATTGTATGGAGAGCAACAACAAAAATCTATGTCCTTTGGGTAGGCTCACAGTGGGAAAAAACCTCACAAACCTGCTTGCTGTACCCTCAGGACATTTTAGCTTTTCTGATCTACAGCAGACAATTACCAAAATCAATACAGCCCAGCCTCACTGGCTGACATCTGCAGTTGTCTGTGGGGAGGGAAGGAAGGGAGGAAGGGAGAACTCTTCACCTCTCAGAGGATGCTCACGGCTCAGAGACTGGGAGGTGTTGCTCTCTCCGTGGGTACAGACACTGCTGCAACCAGACAACTAAAAACACACTCTGGAATTTGTCATCTGTTTATTCTGGGATTTATAGTTTTGCAATGTAAGCACATAAAACACATGTTGTTAAACACAGAGAAAATATAGAGTCAGCTATCCTTCTGTCAAAACAGTCTCAGTGAGAAATACAAAGGAAGAAGATCTCTTTGCTAAAGACTCCAGGGCAAAAGCCTTGTGCTGCCTCTGAAATTACACTCTTCACATGCAGTTTGCCTCCTTAGTTACTGAGCACTGCAGTAAAACCTTGGGACAGAAAGACAAAGCACAGCCAGAGTTTCACTCACTCGCTGTAGAAGTGCCTCCCCAGTTTCCCAGGAGACTGGGATCAGTGCAGTGCTCACACATGGAACAGGTTCTGAGGAAGCAAAGGCTTTACTTTTGAGGACTTTTCCTATACTACTTCTGTAAGGTCACAACAAATCCCATTACACAAATCAATTTAAAAACATGAGGTACTTTCCTGACAGATGCTGAAAGCTGAAGGTTCTGCTGTCAGTCGCTGCCCAATGTCTTAACTGTAAATCAAAAATTGATTGCCCTGAAAAACTCTTGGTATCCACAAATACAAACTTATATTCACCATATATTTTCTGCATTTCCAACATAACTCTTATAACCTCTCGAGGCTTAATCATCTCTTCATCGTGTGCTGATTACAGAAGTGCTGTTCCCGCAAAGCTCCAGAACACGCTGTACCCCTGCAGCGTGGGCAGGGAGGAACAAGACCCAGATGAAGCTCTCAGATTTTAGGGCACCCAACTCTTCCATCACTAGGAGGTGAATTTCTGGCATTCCAAATTTTTAACAACTTTCAGATAGTTATAAACATTTCTCAATTAGTGTTTCCAAAAATGGAGACAGCAAAATCTGGGCAAATCAAAAAATGTGACCCTTTCTGAGCAGTTTGCAAAGCTGGCAGCTAGATCAGCCCTGGAGGAAGACAAGGCAGGCATGTGTGCAGGCCAGAAGGCTGCTGGGAACAGAGAGGACTTCCTTCCTGCCATGTCTGTGCGGGGAAAGCCACAGCTGCTGTTTTGCTGTGCTCTGATGGAACAGCCAGGCTGGGTCACAATGGGGACTGCTGGACACAGGAGCCCGTCCTTGTCCTTCATTCTCCAGGCAGGACTGGGAAGCCTGGACCTCCAGCTCTCCCTGTTCTTTCTACAGAGACTGGCAAGCCCCAGGTGTTGATCCTTGTGGCAGCAAAGCTGCAGTGTGCAAGCTGAGCACGCTGCCACTGAGGTTACACAGACCAGGCACCCAGAGAGCTCAGAGCCCCTGCAAGCCTCAGTCACCTACAAATGAACAATTCATTGTCTGCTCAGTGCAGCCACACCAGGGAGTGAACAGCTCTGTCACACTGTGGAGGTTTAAATAAACTGGTAAGAAATACTAGAGAGCTGAGAGAGAAACGTCAAAGCTGGAATGACAGAGGTTCACAACTGCCATGAACTGGTCAGACAGGGCAGGCACCTCCAGCCAGTGCAGGGGAGCAGGACCACAGAGCTGTGGCTCATCTCAGCAACAGGCAGGTCTGCAAACTCCCTCACAACTACTGCAATAATCCTGGCTAGCAGAAAAAATAAACAGTTTGGAATATTTATATAACAGTCACTACAAACGCAAATGTCCTTCACTGAGCAAGCACCAAGAGGAAAGGCAATGGGGAGAATTTTATCTCACAGATTCAGAGAACATCAGGTGGTATGAAATAATGAATTGGAATAGTTCTAGAAAAACCCAAAAGAACATTACTGAATGTAATAATTTGGAGTGGGAGATATGTGAAAAGTGTGGACAGTCCCGTAACAAAACATTTATGATTCATCAAGAAGGATAAGAGTTGAAAATTCAGAATAGCTATTGCAAAAATTCATTCTAAAGCATTGCTGCACACATGCAAAATTGCCTGCGTAGAGAAAATTTAAGTTAGAGAAAAAGGTACAGAAAAGCAATTTCAGGAAAGTTGAAAACTCTTCCCTGTAATTTTCCCCATCTTTATTATTGACACAAATTTTCATAAAATTCCTATGATGAAAACTGAAAAGGAAGATGAGGTAAATGCTCCTTTATTAGTCACTTGTCCCTTACAACAGAAGTATAACACAACTGAAAAATGTTCCTTTTCTTCCTTAACCAACTACATGATCCTTCAATGAATTTGTTCTCTTGATGGAATGATAAGTAAAAATCTAAAATACCAATCTGCCCAGTAGTTGTGGAGCCACAATGACATTCGGGAAAAGAAATTTTAAAAAAAAGTGTCCACTTAAGGCTGGATTAAATTTAAGCATATGTTTTTGGAGATCATCAATAGCAGTGTTGGGAAGGCAGCAAGTAC